TTGATTATAAAAGGAATGCGTTTTTACATGGAACATTTGAGGTAAAAAAAGAGTAACTTGATTAATAAAAGGAATGCGTTTTTACATGGAACATTTGAGGTAAAAAAGAGTAACTTGATTAATAAAAGGAATGCGTTTTTACATGGAACATTTGAGGTAAAAAAAAGAGTAACTTGATTAATAAAAGGAATGCGTTTTTACATGGAACATTTGAGGTAAAAAAAGAGTAACTTGATTAATAAAAGAAATGTATTTTTACATGGAACATTTGAGGTAAAAAAAGAGTAACTTGATTAATAAAAGAAATGCATTTTTACATGGAACATTTGATGTACAAAAATGAGTAAATTGATTATCAAATCTCCTTAATTTAATTCTGATAACAGTATTTTCGATATAAAAGATAAAATTTGCTTGAAAAATTTAAAGTACACTGGTGACCAAAAGTTAAGTAACAAACTGCATTTGGAGTATTAACAATTTTTCCTTTAACTTTTGAACAGCAGTGTAATTTTCTTCATATCAAAAGAAATATCAGTATAAATAAAGTGCATTGTACCTGGTGCCTGTAACGAGTGCAAACATTGTAGACCGCGATTTACGTCACAAGTGATGCCGTTTTGTCCCGCTTGATTAAATGAAGTCGTTTCTCCAGCCACTTTACATTCAACCGAAGTCAGAAACGGTGGATAGCAGAAATCATATTGTTGTCGTAAATTATTGTACGTCTCCATGTCTCCATCTGGGTTAACTGTAGGATCATCACTGTTCATCCAATCTGTCCAACCGTGTTGATCGGGACTGCAAGGGAATGGTGTAGAAACAGTGGAAGTTATGATTTCTACCACTGGTGGCGCTGTTGCTTCGGTTGTTTCTGGTACTGGAGGTGCAGCTGTGCTGGTGGTGGTCTCTGGTATGGGTGGTGCTATGGTGGTGGTAACTTGTGGTACCACTGGTACAGCTGAACTGGAAGTAGTTTCTGGCACTGGTGGTGCAGCTGTGGTGGTGGTGGTCTCTGGTATGGGTGGAGCTAGGGTGGTGGTAACTTGTGGTACCACTGGTATGGGTGGAGCTAGGGTGGTGGTAACTTGTGGTACCACTGGTACAGCTGAACTGGTAGTAGTTTCTGGAACTGGTGGTGCTAATGTGCTAGTGGTTTTCAATTCTCTGGGTGTTATTACACTAACTGTTGTCGAAGAGGAAGGTAAAGTAGTTGGCACCAAGTGTCCTGCAAAACAAGTTGAGTTGTACCAAGCATAATCGTAAAGCTATATGAAAGCTATAAAGTTTGTTTCATTATAGACACAAAGAAACAACTAATATTAATGACAAAACAAGGCAACTTACAGAATGAAATAAGATCAAAGATGTTATCAAGTTATATTTAAAAAACAGCGCATGTTTTAATTTTATTGTATTAATGGCAAAAAGAACATCCTATAGTGATCAACATTAATATCGATATATTTTTTTACAAGAAGTATATTATATCTAAAAAAATACTATGTATACTAACAGTATTTTGAGTGTTATGTATTTGATTGTTTCAGAGAAAAGCCATATTGGGTTATTTGTTGTGTCCACAGTCGGGAATCGAACCCCGGAATTTTCGCGTTGTAAATTCGTAGATTTAACACTGTCAAATCGGGGAACGAGTGTTAAGTGAAGTGATAATAATTCTAAAATTTATATTACAATTTTTTTAGCAAAGAAAACATTTAGATAGCTAACTGGTGGTTAAATTATCTAAATGAGATTTGAATACATTGATTTATTCCTACTATTTAAGCACTTTTCATAAACGGTTGGGAATAGTGTTAAAATATATATTTTTTAAACTGCATAGAGTTGTAAGTGTTTCAGAGATTAGTCAAATGGTATTAAGCATGGATATGTTCAATGAAACCAAATATAATAAAAAAATGGTATTTATTTAATATTTTGATGTAACCCACCCTGGATTTATACATTCACAAGCAAAAGTACCCGTCCCCAGTGAAGGAAAAGTTTAAGTTAATCTAGCAAAAGTACCCGTCCTCAGTGAGGGACAGTTTAAGTTAATCTATCAATATAGATTATTTCATGGTTTTTAAAAAGGTTAATTGTGTTGCACTCTTGGTTTCACTTAGATACAAAGCTCTGAGCTACTTATAGTGTCTACCATGAGAAGTAACTGTTGAGTATTTCAGTCATGCTAAGAGCCACTCAACAATAACATACAGTAAATCTACATTTATATTCTTTAAGTTACGTCACATTTTAAAATGTGAATGATGGTGTGATTAATTCCTAACAATTTAGTGTAGAATATCCTGCTTACGAAATAAAATGTGATATTAACATTATTCATGCCTGTTCTCCCGTCAGTTCAAAAGTGAACAGTGAGCTTTGCCTGCGTACGCAGCTTTTCAAACGGGAGACAAACGAACGCTCGGACAGTTACCACGGTTCTCAATATGTATAAGATCAGTTTCTAAAATTAAACATATAATAGCTAGCACAATATATCTTTTAAATTCAGGCGTTCTCCTAAAACGAGTGTATTTTAATATTTCTTAAAGCAAGTTGTTTTTCTCGCAACTAAATAAGTAAAATAATAATTTATTCAAAAATTCAATTTTATTAATTTCAAACTTAACTTATTAACCCTTACCACAATCACAGAAAACTCGAATTTCATAATCCAAACATAGCTGAGCACCTTCCTGGTTTTTGTTTAAGCAAATTAATCCTGATGGTAAAGAACATGACACTTTTTGACCACCTTCCTGATATGATTGCAAAGTTCCTGCAACTCGGCACTGAATAGCAGTCATATTCACAATCGGGCAGAAGTCACGGTAAACTATACGTAATCGTGAAGTTGTACTCAGTTTTTCAAAGTCTCCTCCGTTCTAGGGTAAAAAAAAAAAAAGAGAAAAAATCGTAATGGACTTATTGTAGAATTTGTTTGTTTGTCTTAGAGCAAAGCCACATTGCGCTATCCACTGTGCCCTCCCGATTTTAAGGTTGTGAGTCCGTAGACTTACCTCTGTCCCACTTGAGGACTTATTGTGGAATAAAATAATCAAACAAAAAGTAAAAATATTTAAATCTGTTCTCTTATTGTGTAAAAGTGTTCTTGGATTATTTATGTTACATTGGGTGAAATCTGTGTGGGAAAATATGTTAATCACATCAATTTTCAAGGTAATATAACTTGAAAACACAAACAAAATCTCTAAACATTAGAAATATGTGAACACAAAAACAATAGGGAAAAAAATAAATAATATCATTACATAAAAAAAATCACGGAGTTGTACAAAATAATTTCAACTTCCTACTCCCCAGCGGGGAATCGAATACCGTTAGGGTACAATCTATCATTTGATTTACCATTTGTCACTGAGTTATAACGATTTCGAGGGAATCCATCTTTCATCCGTAACCCTGGACATTGGCAAATCGAAAGAGTAGAACGCTAGGTTTTTCCTAATTTTGCTGGTATGGACAAGTATATTGTATATGTTAAAGGATTAAGATATATTGCGGTACATTTAATGATTAAAGTTAGCTATGTACCTCATTAACCACAACCTGGGAAATAAGTGATGATATCTGGAAAGTATTGGACAATTTCAGCAGGTATCATTTGATAGCTTTGGATAAAGGTAATACTTATTTTTCCTTATACCATTTTAAATTATTTTATTCGGTCTAGTGGTTTCAGGTAGATTTATGTTTTGAAGTTTCAGTATTGAGTAACTCCTAGAAAATCTGAACGCACTCTCACGTGTCACTTTTGGTTATTAACTTATATACGTTTAAAAAAAAACGTTAGGAGGGGCATACTTGCTGGGCTTAAACTCTGAATGTTGGAGTGCGGTATTATTTTCAGACTTTTAGTTTGGTTTGTCACGAAGTTCGCGTAAAGCTATACGAGGGCTATCTGCACTAGCCATCCCTAATTTAGCAGTGAAAGATTAGAGAGAAAGCAGCTAGT